ACCCTCTCAGGGAGACTCAACCACTTTCCTCGCCTCCCTACAGCTGGAGTATGCGCCTCCTGGCACGGCGCCCCTCTGATCCGGAGCCGGGTCCCCGCCACAGGGTACCCCCACCCTCCAGAGCGCCCCCCAGACCTTCCATGCCCCCGGAGCCTCACTCACCGCACAGCTGACGCCGCTGGTAGGGGCTCTAGGCGCGGAGGAGCCTCAGCTGCAGCCTCCCCGCCGGGCCGGGCCCTACCCCGGGGTCTCCATGCTGTTGCCGCTGCTGAGTCCAGACCCCCTTCACCCTAGTCTCCCTAGTCCCGCCCTCCACCACGGACGTCAGCACAGCGGCCTGCCTTGTGCCACCATGCTATTGGAAGAGCCCTGCTCAGGGCCGCATCTTATTGGTCGCTGCCGCATATTAAACCAACCAATGAGAGACCTACTTGAGGTTGTTATGGTTACCGATGCTGTGATGGGGCTGAGTGGAAGGACTCGGAGCTGCAGTTCCTTGAGGCGCGGGTGTGTGCGGCGGGAGGCGAGAGGGAATCATTATAGGTCACTAGGGGAAGAGGGAAAGCCCTGGGCGCAGAGAGGTCACTGGGCGGGAGAGGGGAAGGGAGTGGTGCTGCTGGGAGGACGGTAACTGGCTGGAGTAAAATCGTTTTCCATGCCCTGGGGCCTAGTAAGCAGAAGTACCTGCAGTTGTGAGGATTTACACGGGAGTCAGCAGGCTGCAGCCCTGCCCAAGGCTGGTGACTGTCAGGCTCGCCTGCCTCGCTGGAAAGGTGAGGCGAGAGGACGGGAAATGCATTGATAACGTGCAAATTCCAAAAAGTTCCTACTGTAGTGGTGAAGTTTGCCCCAGACCACTTCTACTAGTCGCTCAGGGTGGGTGAGGGGACTAATAAAATACCATCTGAGAGTCCATCATGCTTCTTTGGGTAAGTGTGAATCCCAGCCTTTTTCTGGCTCTGCCTCCTCTTCCCCCATCAGACTGTAGGTGAGATGCTGTTCATAGTAACTGACGGTTGTCACTATATGCTATATAAGTAGGTCTGGCGAAATAATTGCAGTCTATAGATCTATTGGAAGGGGAATTTACTTAGCCATGACAAAATCCAATATAATAGTTAAGCATACTTCTTGCCTGGAAGACTAGGAGCTGCAGCAACAAGTTACAAAATGGCTACTTTAGAAGGACAGCTGCCTTGACTCTTAAAAATTTAAAGGGGCAACCTGAGAAAGGTATGCTGTGCAAAATGTTCCTATTAGAGAGTAACCCTTTAGTAGAAAAGGCCGATACCTTAGTTACTAAGGAAATAGCACCTGCTAAAGAAATAATATCTGTAGTGTGTATCACTGCAGTATTATAGGTCCTAAACAAAATACAATACAGACAATTGACTACTAAATTAGTTCAACATATGTGAAGTAAATTGAAGGATTGTTATGTGAGTGCAGCTTATGTGATGAGTTGTTGCTGGTCTACAAAATAAACTAGACTTCAGTTTCAGAGTTACTTATATATGTAAATTATGCTGTGCTCTATGGTAATTTTAATCTTGATCTATCTATTATGGTGCTGGTAACATGGAAAAAAAGTATGTGATAAGGATGGTGCCTGCTCACAGCCTTCTAATCTTAAATTTAATACGTGATTTAAAAAAATATTGGCAGTGAATGTAGCCATCTTGGGTCTAGCAACAAGATAGCATTGTAGACTGAAGTTCTGTCTTACTACAGATCAGTTACAGAAAGGGAAATGACAAAACAGGCTTCCCTACAACTTTGATCTGAGGGAATCCCCTTTAGGTGTCCAATGGGTAGTCTCCCATTCTACTTAGTCTTTGACCACTTTGCTTATACTGTTGATAAGGTTTTCAGCTGTGCTTTTGTTGGATACTTTGCAATGACTGATTGTGAAATTAAACCACCAACTCATTTCACATTTAAGAAGGTTCTGAAGAAGTGGGTTGTGCCCACAAAAGCGCATGATACCATCTACATTTTTTGTTAATCTTTAAAGTGCTACCAGACTATTTGTTGTTGTTTTTTTTAAGTTTATCCTATGTAGCCTAACTCAACTATCCTCTGAACCTTTTCATTTCACATTAATTACTAATCAGTTATCAGAAACAGGTCTGTCACAACTTGTAAACTGGGCCAGATTCAAACATGTAACCTTCATGGTCTTGATTCTAAACTGAAGGACATGGGTTTTATACTGATATAACTTAATTTGGAACCCATTTGCTGGTCACCTAAATCAGCAAGTGCTCTGAATAGGTGGCTTCTCAATATTTATTTTAAAAATCCTTCCCATGACTAACAGTAAATGGGGTCTATGTACAAGTTCAGGTATATAATGTTTAATGTAATTGAGAATTATTAATATTCTCTATATGCAATGAGTTCACAACAGTGACTGGGGTTTTGGAAAAAAGCTCTTATGCCATATTGCCCTGAGTTATCTTTGCTTCCTTTTGATTGTGGGTGGCTCCAAGGATAGCTGCAAGGTAATCTACTATAGTAGTCCGTTGTGCTGACTGTGGGGCAGCTGCCCACTATATTCCTTGTGCTGTGACCTGCTAGGGGTAAGTATGGTATTGCTTATAGTAGTTGAACACTGTAGAAGTGGGCTGTATGCACAAAAGCTCAGGATACCTTCTACATGTTTTGTTAGTCTATAAAGTGCTACCAGACCATTTGTTGGTTTAAATTTATACTGTTCCAGTAGTGAGCCTACTTTGACAGAGTCAATACACTGTTTTTAAAGCTTGTATTGGCAGTAATGAGAAAATAGAGCAAGGCAGATAATTTGGTGAGGTCCTGTCCCATTTGAAAGCATGTGGAAGGTCATTTTCTTTATCAATGAGCCATAATAATTTCAAATCTGTTCTCAGCCACAGATTCATGCAATTTAACTACAGAAGGGGCAATTGGATAATCTACTTTGACCTCCTGTATATCACAAGCCATTAATTTCATTTGTTACCTTTCTATTGACCCCAATAACATGTGTTTAGTTAGAGCTTATCTTTCCAAAAGCCATCCAGTCTTGATTTAAAACTAAGAAGAAAAGTATCTAAATTTCACTTGCCAGTCTGTTCAGTGATTATGCACACATTTGACCACTAAAGAGATTAATCTGAATTTGTCTGGCTTCAGCTTCCATTAGTTTTATGTCTCTCAAAACTTGGGCACAAAAACATATACATAATCTCAGTGTCACTAGAAGAGGACTCTGCGTTCATTAGTAAATCCTATAAGAATTTGATGTCATTTGTTCCTTCTGAAACATCTGGGATTCCTGTTACTCTTAAATCTGGTTTCTTGAAAGTATTCTCTGGCTCTTTCACTCTTGAATGAGCAGGTTAGTAGATTAGTATCTGCTGACTGTTTTATTGGTACTGCTGTTATCCTCCCTTTTTGAGCTCTTAATGAGTTTCTGCTTAATCTAACCTGTCCTATGATTAGTCCAAATAGAAGTCTTTCAAAGGGGTTCTCAATATTTTCAAAAATCTATCATGCCAGCCTTAATTTGAGCTAAGACTCTTATATTTGGGATCCTGTTACTTGGATGAGAGCAGAGAAACACCTTTGGCTACAGGTAGAATAGTGGGAACTGCAGAAGCAGAGGGCCTGATCTGTGAAATGTAGTAGTATGAAGATAAATCTCAGTTGAGCCTTCAAAACAGTACTTTACTTTTCTGGATTTGTTTAGCATTACCTATCTCATTCAGATTCTGAGGCTATAGGAGTTTGATATTCTGTTATTAGTTAGAGGGTGCGTGAACCTCATGGAAAGAAAGGTGAGCAAATGAACATCTGCACGAGAACATTTTGATGTATGTGTTTAAATAGAACACTTGTTTTCAAAATAGTTATGCTAAATCTATTAGTTAACATTTGGGATTTTGACATCAAGCAGATCTAATGATGTAATGAACTTCAATGGGACTTGTAGAAAACAAATTAACTGATTAAAATATAGTAAATATTTCTTATATTTCTCACTTTAATAAGCATTTTTCTTAGCTCTTAGAGCAGTGAGGTGGCATTTTGTTGCTTGTCAGATTTATTTTATTATAAAGAACACAGCTTTAATTAAAAGATGTGGCATCCCTCAATAATACACTTTTATTCTAGATATAAATTTGAGACCTTACTCTTCATCTGGTAGTTTGAGAAATGGGAGGCAATAGTGTGGATACAAATTAATAATTATAAAAGGTGATCATACCTATGTTTTTCTTCTCCATTGCCTTGTTAAAGTATCAAGCTTGAGCATTTGGCTCTTGATCCTACAAGGTGCTAAGCATAGTCATGCAACACCAAATAAGGCTTGCAGCTCATAACTTCAGCCAACTAAGCAGAGTTGCTCAGTACCCCATGTGTAAGAAGATCTGAGGCAGAATTTAGAATCAAGTATGATGCTAATTGAGGAAAGAGGGTAATTAACAGCCATCTTAGCCTAAAGCAGGCATGTCCAAAGTCCGGCCCGCGGGCCAAATGCGGCCCGCGGTCAGATTTAATACGGCCCCCCGCTTCTCCCGGCTCCCCGGTGCTTTTTTTAACTGGCGCGCTCAGCGCGCCGCCTCGGGCCGACAGCCCCCGCTTCCTCCCCCTCTCCTGGCTCCCCGGCGCTCCTCTGACTGGCGCCGCTTCTGGCTGCGCCACCACCGTCCATGGCGGCCGCTGCGGTCCTAAAGTCCTCCATGTAGGGCACGTCCGCAGCCCCGCTCCCCCGCTTGGCTACGGGTTCGCCCTCCCCCCGGGCCGATGTGAGGCCAGCGTGCCCTGCGCTCTCCGCCCACCTCTGACCCTGCAAGCCCTCTACCTTGGGGCTGAGAGTGCAGGGACGGACTCCGCAGCTGCTCAAGTTCAGTATCTGTGATTGGCCCTGCGCACTGTCAGCTTCCTGGCGGGCTCAGGCACGTGGAGCTCATCATTAGAGACTTCGCCACAAACAGCCACAAAGGCAAGAGAATTCTTGTTGGGCAGTGTATTAGTGCAGTGTATTACTTGGGCAGTGTATTAAACCTCTGGCACTGCGCTCACATGATCCCTTCCCCTTCTGGTCAATTTTAAAAAATGGCGACTGTAAATAAGAGAAGGAAAGTTGACAGTGAGGGCCGCCGCTTCCAGGACAGGTGGAAAGTGGAATATTTCTTCACTGAAATAGAGAATCACTGTGTTTGTCTGATATGCCAAGAGACTGTGGCTGTTTATAAGGAATTTAATGTCAAGAGACACTACCAGTCGAGACATAGCACATACGACAAGCTTACAGGGCACGACCGCAGTGAAAAGTTGAAGCAACTTGAAGCTGTTTTAATGTCACAACAGAAATTTTTCATAAGAGCCCGTGAGTCAAATGAAAATGCCACAAGGGCGAGCTATGAGGTGGCAACGTTAATTGCTAAAAATTGCAAATCTTTTGCTGAGGGTGACTTTATCAAAGAATGCGTTATGAAAATGGTTGAGAATATCTGTCCCGAGAAGAAGCAAGAGTTTGCCAACATTTGCCTGGCTCGTAACACTGTAGCACGGAGAATTGAAGAGATTTCATCAGATATTAAGAGACAGTTGACATCCAAAGGAGTGGATTTTGACTTCTTTTCAATAGCCTGTGATGAAAGCACGGACCTATCTGACACAGCTCAGTTGCTGATTTTTATGAGAGGGGTGGACGATGAAATGAATGTGACTGAAGAGCTACTTGACCTCCAGAGCCTTACGGACCAAACAAGAGGAAAAGATTTATTTGTTTCTGTTAGTTCCG